GAAGCCACGAGCTGCTCCGCAGGAGAAAGACAGGGCTTTCCACTCCCGGAAAGATTTACAGTCTGGGGTCGCTGTGCATCATCGACTTCATGGCTGTGAGTTGGATGGTTTGGGGCACCTAAGCATTTCAGGGCTATGCCACTTCGAGCAAGCTCCTTAACCTGCTTAAGCCTCAGCTGTAAAGTGGGTATGATAAAAACATCATTCAAGACTCAAGAGAACTAAAGTAGCCATGCATGGCATTGGACACACGGAGAACAGGGCCCTGCCAGGTCCATACCAAAAGCCCAGCTTATTCCCCCCGGGTGGGCGTTATTCGTGGTCAGCTATCAGAAGATGATACCGAGAATGGAAAAAGCAGAATGGTCTTGAGGTAGCATATGTGGTCATATTTGGCGCCTTATTGGGCGGACAGAGGCTTCGACTCAACCAGTCATACCTCAGAAGAATGCCCTTGTCCATACAGACAAAACTGTCCACAACTCTGACTCCGAGATGACAGAAAACCCCAAAACATTACTGATTCCAGTGAGCATTGCCCTGGATCCTAGGGGGCGGGGTGGGGGTGGGGAAAAAAAGCCATTTAAACATTATCCCAAAATACATTTGCAAATTAATCTTGCCATAGGCAAGGTTCTTGGACTTAGTGTATTACCATCCTCCTGCCTGCCCCCACCACACATTACTCTTTTAAAGACAGGACTGCCAAGGGCTACTGGGGAAAGTCACTAATATAAAACCTTTTATGATATTGGCCAATTTCACACCTTCCCAGACCCAAGGCCCAGAGTTGCTTAAGTGTGACTGCAATTGTCACCTTAATTTAAGCCTCCTTATCCTGGAATCCTAACTGGGATGGTATCTAAGCCAATGATCTCATCCTGGGGAGCCTAACTAAATGGAAGCTTAGATCCTTGCTTTAAATGACAAAGGACTTGACTCTTCAGTAGGGAGGAGCCTGACAACCTCAATGTGGATTGAAGCAGCCAGTTGGAGAGGGCAGTAACCCACATAGACAGCCCTGGCAGGAGCACAGGTGTTCAACTCATTGCTCCAGAGGCAAGCAAGTACAACCATCGCCACTCACGTACGCACGCACACACTCACTCACCCACCCACCCACCCACCCACCCACTGGTCCAGACAGGCTCGAACTTCCCCGGTGTGTTTCCAAGAGCGCAACTCTTTACAGGTGCAGAAGTCTCAATCTTTCTCCCTCAGAGCAGCTGGTGGTTTTAAACTGCTGACCTTGAGGTTAGCAACCCATGTTATAACCACTACAACTCAATAGCCACCCTAAGGGCAGGGTAGAACTGCCCCCTGTGAGCTTCTGAGACTGTAATTTTTGAGGGAGTAGAAAGCCTTATCTTTCTCCTTCTGAGCGGGTGGTGGCTTCGAACTGCTGACCTTGTGGTTAGCAGCCCAACATGTAGCCCACCACGCCAGGGCGCCTTCAACCATCATAGGTAGGTTGATTCTGCAAGGTGGCCGAGTGTTTCTAATAAATGGAATCAGATCCTGCACCCCCAGTCGCCACTCAAAAGACACCAGGGATACAATCCCCTGGGAATGAGGTCATCCTCAGAGGAGGCCTGTGGCAGATCTGACAGGGAGCGCTCTGAACATCTCGTGAAACCTCTTTGCTTCACAGATGAGAAAATGAATCATTTGAGTCTTGCCTCAGGTCAAATGATTTTTTTCCCAGACCAGGAGAGAGCAACTCCTCTTATTTACAGTCCAGCTGGTGTGCACCTCTGCCCCTGCCCTGCCCTCCTACTCAGGATTTAATAACGACCCAGTCCTGGGATCCCAAAATGGGGAAGCTGGAGAAGGGGGTAGCGAAAGAGAAGAAAATGACACACCATCAAATCGTTGTCACTTGTTGCAAGAGGAAAGTGACCAGCCAGCTAGCTTTCCCTCTTGGGTCATCACTGTATCTCCAGCACGGAGCCCTGGTGGCTTCATGGTTACGTCCTGGGCTGCTAAGCGTAAGGTCGGCAGTTCAAAACCACCAGCTGCTCCCAAGGTTGAAATATGAAGCTTTCTGCTCCTGTAAAGTTAGTCTCGGAAACCCAATGGGGCCGTGCCCTGCCCTATAGGGTTGCCAAGAGTTGGGACCAACTCCACAGCAGTGTTTGGCTTGGACTTTATCTTCAGCACTGAGAACTGTGCTCTGTACTTAAAACCCAAACTACCTGACACCTACTGCCCATCAGTGCATGCCACCTCAAAGGGACACTCGATAAGGTTTCTGACGCTGTCAATCTTCACAGGAGGATCCAGCCTCATCTTTCTTCACTGAGCAGCTGGTGGGTTTGGAGGCACATGAAGACAGGAATGCATGAGTGAAATTTGGGCTATCAGGTTGTAACACACTTTTCCTTGAGCTTTCCCGACCTCTCCCTTCCAGTCCTTTAAAAGAAGGTTCAGGGTTGGATTCTGGAGAAGAGAAATCCATCCCTAAGCAACTGCGTCCGTCGTGGTTACACATTGGGCTGCTGCTAACCCGAAGGTCAGCAGTTCGAAACCACCCGCAGGGTTTTCTACTCCTCAAAAGAACTACAGCGGCAGAAACCCACAGGGACACTTGTATTCACTCAATGTCTGTGAGAAGTGTCTAGCGAGGCGCCTGGCCCACAGAGACTACAGAAGAGCCATTTCAGTTATTCCTCCTGCCCTTGCTGTCCAGGTGTGGGCTGCTGGAGGCAGGGGTGACTGGTCCAGGTTATACGTGGGTTATATACCTGCAAGTGAAGTGGGTTTCTAGCAGGGCAATGGTGCCTTTCTGAATCTATTAGTTCTGTTCCCTACCTTGAAATACGCACAGCTCATGTGACCCCCCGCGTCGGGTCACTTGTGTTGATGGGCATTCTGGGCTCTCTAGCTCACGTCCTCATTAGCTTCAGGGACAAGGCAACAGGAGTTGTTGGGCTGTGGAGTTCTCTCTCCAGAAGAAAGCAGTTAAACGGCTCCCAGGAGCACCCAGCCAACTGTGTGGCTAAACTCTGCCCACTCAAGGGCGGGCTGGCCAGGGGCCACTCCGCCACGCGTAGGGTGTGTGTGTGTGGGGGGGGGGGAAGTTTCCGACTCCGTTCCTTGGTCCTCCCAACCCCCAATGGAGCAGGGGTCCAGCCTCCGCACTCACTTTCTTTTCTGGGGTCAACAGTCCAATCCCATCCCGGGGACCCCCAATGTGTCTTCTCGGGGTTCCCTCCTTTCCCCGCTGCGCAGGCCGCCCACGAAGCATTACCAGAGAGCCTTCCCAGAAGGGGGCCTCAGACGGCCCAGAGTCGGGGTCTCAGGGACAAGCGCCCCTAGGGAGGCACTAGGAGCGGGGCGGGGGCGCCAAGGGCCTGCCCGCCGTCCAGGCTCGATTG